ATCTCTACCTGAAATTCATACTTGCTATGTAGATCCAAGAGGGTTGAACGTTGCCAAATTTACCAAAATCAATGGTTACTTATATTTATGATTATATATAGTTACATCCATATTTAAATGGTTAAATACATTTATGGTTAAAGGAACTGCCACTTTATGTAATAAAGACTTCAAAACAACACATATCCATTTCAAACTAGATTTAATTTTACCATAATCCAAATAAGTTACATCCATATAAACTCCATTTTGTTGTATGTACAACCTATGTCATTAGCAAGCTGACAGAGTCAGCTGGTGAAAGCATTCGCCTCATCCTCTGGAACGTATGAATCTTCCAACACTTTCTCTGTCCATCGGCTGGTTCTAGAGCAGGACAGCCACATCTTTCATCCCCAAAGCAGACTGAAAGGGAGGGGGGAGGAAATGAAAGTCAGATTTGCAGTACGTTCTTGTATTTAAATAAGTTTCTCTAAAAAGCAAGTCAGAACAAACAGCCCTATAAAAATACAGCATAAATGCTACCAAAAAAAACCCACAAATACTAGCCAGAATACATTGCAACAAAGCTACCTACCCAGAAAAAGGACTCAGACTAGTAAGCCTCAAACTAGACCTAAATGCATTTCTGTTACCTGTACACATACTCTGGTATCAAATGCATACTTTATGCTCTGCAGACACGTTCAATACAAGAAAAAAATCTCAAGCTGCTAGTGAAACTGAACACAGGAACACTGCCAGCAAACAAACAACTTGAGCAAATGACACCATAAAAGATTTTACTGAAACTGTAACATGACCTTGACATTTTTCTCATTCTTTCTACTGTTAGAAGTAGCTCCTTTATATGGTGTGAGGCAAAAATAATGAAGATATAATTTTGCAAACAATGCAGACCATCAATTATTTGTCTTAGCAGTACCTGCCTCTGTGCTGTTGTCAAATTTCAAGATCATTAAAAGAGCCACACTCCCTTCAAAATCTTAATTTTAAAAGTCTGACCCATGGATACGCTTCAATAGAACTCAAACCCCACAAGAATTTATGGCCACTAATGCCAGGACATTGCAGTGGTGACAAGTTGTCCCATAACAAAGAAGCAATATGAGCAAATGCATTGTGATCCACTGCAACGACAAATACTGAAGGATGTACCTCTGTATTTAATGCCGTTTTTAAGCAGCTTTACAACCATATTTACAAAGAGGGAAGGAGAATGGATTCTGGTTAAAACCCCTGTTAGAAGTATAAGTAATTATTTCTAGGTGCAAAAAGAAACTTGCATAGAACACCTCTAAAACAGATTACAAGGGCAGCTTCCACTCAAAAAGGCACAGGAAGTCCCATATATTAAAAAAAATGCACAGGATTCAGAACAAAACACTAAGGCTCTTACAAGAACTTGTGTTTCGCTGTTTTTTTCTAGTTTTGATTTTAAAAGAAAAAATAACCTGACCAGCTATACTATCACCCCAAACCACTTTAAAACAGTGGATAAAACACCTCTTGCTGTTTAGTGTGAACAACCAGAGTAACACCTAAAACTGTGACCATGAGAGCTCTGCTTCTGTATGTACATTTGGACACAACACGTACCTCCAGATTGTTGGCTCGGGCATTCCTGGATCTGCACCCCTCCTAAAACCTAAACAGAAATAAACATTAGATAAACACACACATGTATGTGTAGACTCCTACACAGCTAACACAGTATCAGATTATTCCAGTTCATTAAACTGAGATGCAAAAGGAGGGGGGGAACTGTGATTCACGAAGTTGTAGACTCACCTCAACAGAAAAGTAACATTAACCAGGGTTAGAAAACAGGCAAAATAAATACAAGTGTACCATTTTTAATTTTCTTTTTTGTTTTTTTTTTTTTTGTTTGTTTGTTTTTTTTAACTCTTAACTGTATCTCTATCTGATTTAAAATTCAGGAACAATTGAATTTGAAGCTGTGAGAGATGATGGAAATTATTTACCTTGAAGATCCCGGCACACACACATGCATGCACATATACATAACTACCAATGAGATTTTAAATGTTGCTGAGAATGCAACTGAATGAGACAACACCAGCAGTGACACCTATACCTGGTATAAGCAACCACTGTGAGCCTTAGCAAGCAGCATTCTGTAATGAACTTACATTTCTATTTCAGTAACTGTTTATTTAATTCAGGGTGAAAGAATTCTAAATGTTCAATCGATTAAACTTAGAACGTTTTGTTCTAACTGCCTTGCAGGGCAAGTTAATTACAAAGAGTTCATCTCCAGCTAATTACTTTAACTACTGATTCACTAAGGCAAACGAATGCTAGATAAGCAATTCAAGGTTCAGTTTATCAAACAGCTTTCTTCCTGGACTGTAAATTAAGTCTTGAAGCACAATTATACATGATGTACACTGTTCAACATGCTTTCCCACAAATGCTTGATAGAAATGGATGCTATATGGAAAATATATTATTCCTCTCCCTTACAGATTATAAGTAATGACAGCCCACCTAAAACACAGGCCACGAAGGTTAATGGAAAAGCTTCCATTAATGTGGTGGGCACTAGGTTACCTCTTTGAAGATAACCTTGTCAGACTTAGACTATTAAATATTCTGGTCCGTTGCCTTTTGTGGCCACACTTACCAATAAAATTGCTTTGAAATACATGAAGTTGTGTTAGCAGTCATACTACGTGTGTGTGTGACACAGATTTAGGAAACAGTACTAGGGAATAAGGGCCACAAATATTACATAAGCAATCCAGTTTCACAGAACTGTACTGGCCTAATTTACCTACTTCACACAGGAGCAGTCACTTCAAAGCAAGCATAAAAACACCTACCAACGAGCTGCAATTGCATAGAGCACACTTCCTCGCATGTTGTCCTGAATATCCTACCCCAGCCTAGGTCTTTCACTGAAACATTCCATTGGTTACAGTGCATTTCATACATATGGGCCTATACAAACTGGGATCAGCAGCACTAAGCACTGCAGAGCCACTGTAACTGTAATAGAGGATTCAGTACTACAGACTTCCGAGTCTGTGCCACCTCCAGGGGTCAGGCAAGGGTGGCACCTGTATTGGTGTCCCTTCATTAATCACAGCACGAAAACTGCTCAGGCAGCAATGCGGGCTGCTGGGGGAGCAGTACATTTATCTGTCGGAGGCACAAAACAAAGCTCCTACAACCCAGTTCCTTACAGTTACAGAAGTACGCGGGCATCCAGGCAGAGGTACAACTGCCCACACAGCGCACCAGCAGGACGTAACACTCGCGTTACATAAGTGCGCATGGTGCCACAGAGCAGCTCAGGCTGCCCAGAGAGGTTGTGGATGCCTTGTCCATCCCTGCAGGTGTTCAAGGCCACGTTGGATGGGGCCCTGGGCAGCCTGGCCTAGTATTAAACGGGGAGGTTGGTGACCCTGCCTGTGGTAGGGGGGTTGGAGATTCGGGATTCAGGAGGCTCGTTCCAACCCTGGCCATCCTGTGATCCTGTGATCCTGTGATCCCTCCCTAAAGGCGGAGCCCTCGCAAACCCCCGCCGGATCGAAGCAGGTCGAGAAACGCTGCGGGAATCCCCGCCCCCAAACCCATCAATTTTAAAATAATCAATAAACTAAGGATGGGAACGCAACATCCTAACGTTGCCTAACGCGGCAGAGCTCAAAGCGACCTTCTGTACCAGTTAAAGCCCGCCGGCTATCCATCAGCCCGCCGGCCCCCCGCACCAGCCACCCCCTCTTCCCCCCCGCTTCCCAGTGGCGCATGCGCGGACAGCACAGCGCGGGGGAGCTCACCCCCCCCCCCCTCCCCCCCCCCCCCGCGCCGTCACGCGTCCCCCAGCACCCCCGCCCTCCCCACGCCCGCTCGCCCCCGGCCGCCTCGACCTCGTTCCCCGCCCCGGGACCGGGGCCGGCCCCCAGCCGTGCAGTGCGGGCCGCTGCACGCCGGCGCCCGCCGTCACTGACCTAGGTAGAGCACGACCGGGATGAAGCCCCAGCGGATGGCGAACTGACCGCCCTTGAAGAGCTGCTGCAGCCGCTGCTTAGCCTCCTTGCTGAGCTTCGGCATGCCGGCGGCGGGGAGAGAGAGGAGCGGCCCGCCCGCGGACGTCACTCGGCTGCGGTGGGCGGCGCTCCGGAGGCCCTTCCGGGGGCGGTGAGCAGGGGTTCGTTCGGGGGCGGAGGCCGCGGGCCGCGCTCGTTTGTCCGCGGGCTGTTCTTGCGCCCCGACGCGCCTCTCTGCCGAGGCTGCGGGTAAGTGAAGGGCAGAGATGGAGCGCCGAGAGCAGCGCTTCCGGGTGACGCCGAAAATGGCATTCGCGTTGCGCTGTCCCCGCGTGCGCCGTGTCTCACGTGGCCCGCTGCCTTTGGCTGCCGCGGCGGACGCGGCGCTGCGGCTGTTCGGTGCCGCCTGGGGAGCGGCACGGTCGGGAGCGGCGGGCTGTGCCAGGGCTGCTCCCAAAGCTGGGAGGGGATCCAGTTGTGTATGGAAACCGGGGGAGGGAGAGGGGAGAATATCCTAGCGGATAAATCACAGCTTGTGGCACTGCAGACATCCACGTAGTTCCTTATAGAATCATTAGCGCTGGAAAAGACCACCGAGATCCTCTAGTCCAACCGCCAACCCATCCCCACTGCCCGTGTCCTTCAGTGCTACATCCACGCTCTTCCTGAACACCTCCAGGGCTGCTGACTCCCCCACCTCCCTGGGCAGCCCATTCCAGGGCATCCCCATTCCTTATGAAAATATTTTTGCCTAATCCCCAACCTGATTCGTTTATAATCGCAGTTTACCAGCCAGATGCAGTTATAAAGTTCTGCATATGTTACGTGTTGGTTTGCTTAAGGCAACAGATGGCTTGCAGTTCAGCAGCTCACTTGTCGCGTTAACAAAAGGGCAGTACTTTTCAATTAAAAAATAATTCAAATACAGGATCATAATAAAAATCACTTACATAGCTTTTTCTATATTTATTCTTCCATTACACAGATGCATATGCTGCCTGTAAGAGATGATGAAGACACAAGTTCATAGCTTGCTCCTTGCTTCTTAGGTATGGACAGGTGACAATCTACAAGCCACATGAGTGATCCTCAGCTGCCTTACCACTCTCTACCAGTAATCAAAGTGTGGGGGACACATAAGTGTCTTGGTGATGGGATGACAAACCTGCTGTATGTCAGGGTATAGAATGCACAAACAGCCTTTGTTCATGAAATCCAGTGCACATGTACACACCTATGCATTGAACAGGAGAGGAAAAGTCAGTATCACATGGTAACATATCTAATGATGTCTAACAGGTAAAGCTGAGGCTTGGAGTCCATGAGTGGCTTCATTGTCAGCTGAACAGCTTATCCCTGTTGGGGTTAGGCAGCATTGTCATGGTTCAGTAGGTGAACGTCAGTATGAAGGGGACTGTGAGTCTACATGTTCTCCAAAAAAGAGTATGCCTTCATATGTTCTCAGACACTAGGAACCAACAAAACATTCTCTAAATAATGCCAGCCATAGAACTTGTTGTGTCGATTGACTCTGTTAGTTATGCTTGATGAGGATTGCCAACAACCAATTCTTTCTGCAGCAGGTGGGCTGCTGGTGTAGGTAGAAAAATACTGGTAATTCATACTTCACTGCACTTCAAAAAGACAAATTTTCTCAATATAATGTTCCAGTCAGAGCTTTATCCAGTTGTTAAGCAAACACATTTTGTTATTGTTAGCAGATTAATGAGGCGCTTTCAGTAACAAATCCAGAATTTGTGGAACATATTAATGAAGATTTTTCTGTGGCAATCTTAGGCAGCTAATAACACAGACACCATAGAAGGTGGAACTGCTTCTGAAATGCTTTGTCAGTTGTTTTTACTAGCTATTAGTAAAGCTATTAGTATTAAAGGTTATTTTGTACTTAGCAAAGTGGTCACACATTCCTGCTTTGTCACATCTAGCGCGGTAGTTCTGCATCAGCGTGTTGCTGTATTTCCATTCCTTAAATTGAGTACTTTATGCCTATTGTTACTTTTTTTTTTTTAATTATCTTTTATTAAAGCTGGAAATTTGAAGTCAGTAATGACTGCTCACGTTCAACTTAGAAGTGGCATCTTCCCTCCCAAGAACAGCTTTTATAAAATACTCTTTAAAGATCGTGAATCCTGTTGTACCTTGCCATGTGTCAGTTCCTTTGTGACTGCCATACCCATTGCATAGCACTAACAAATTTAGATCTTTCCACTTCTTGCCTCTAAGGAGATGTTTTCTTCAATTTTAGGTAATTGTAGTGCAAGTAGGATTCATAAGGCCAAGTGTACTAAATAACTGATCCAAATGATTTAACAGCTCTGTCTTCTTCAGGTATAAACCTGTTTAACTGTCTCTAGTTACATCAGTATGGATGTTCTTGAGAAAGGGTATTCCTAAAAATGTGCCATCTGTGCTCCTTCTTCCATCCTTTCCTTCTCATATCAAGTCAAGGAATTATTTTCAGAGAACGGGAACTTTCCTTGATAGCTCTCATTTCTTGCATCTGCAGTGTGTTATGACTGGACATTACATTTTACTTTATTATGATAATTAAGCTGTCTTTTGTGCCCTTGTAAGGATGGTCCTTTTCTTCCATTCCATTTCAATATTCATTTAATACATCCCAGCTACTCTGCAGTACCATTGGTCTAGGAAACGCAGATTTTCAGTTTGCAGAGACCACGTTTTGTAGAGATAAATAGAAATGGAAAGCACTGCTGCAGCCAAAAAAAAACTAAGGCTATGCAATTGTGCTGCTTGGGAAATGCCAGAATTCTGTGACATCTCATTTTCTCTTGATAGTTGTAAAAGCAATAATACTTGGGCTTAAATATGTTCGGGTTTCTTAATTTAGCATATTTTCAAAACATATTTGAAATACAGAGCAGAGATGCATATAAATTTTTTTTCTGTCTGGATTACTGTCTCTTTCATATGATTTTCTGTGTGATACTCCATTGGCTGTACTCTGGCCACTGTAGGGTATTGGATAGCTGCCTTGCACAGAGATCTCAACAAATTAAGGGGCTGACAATAATCAACCTCATGAAGTTTAACAAGAGCAAGTGCTGCATTCTGTACCTGGGCTGGGGCAATCCTGGCTGTACATGCAGACTTGGGAACAAGAGGATTGAGATTTAATATGGAATTGAGAGCAAACACAATAATAATATTATTTTCCATTTCAGCTCCTGAAGCCAATGAAGGAGAAACAGCAGTCTGAGATGAAACAACATTCAACAAAACCTCATCAAATGCTTTCAGAGGTCTCTGAAAAAAAAGTATTGTTGTTGTGCTTAAAAATTGAATATTATCTGCTACTCAACTTTATTTTCATTCGGAACCTGACTGTCCCATTCTCCTCATTTTCATTTAAGAATGAAAATGTTGCATTAAAGATACTGCTACCTTTCTGTAAGTGGTTACTCTAAAAATATCACAGTTCTTATATGCACATTGCTGTGATTGCAGTATTTGGCCAGGGATGAAAACAATCATCTGATTACTTGCATACTTACAGTGATATGCAGAAGTCTGATGGATTAAAGGATTTTCTGAGGCCAAAACCAATATCCGTATTCTCTCATTCTTTGTTTTTAAATTAACTTTTGGGTTTTTGTTTTGTTTTAAAGCATCTGAGGAGAGCAACTGTCAATGGCTTTAGAAAGATTTTCCTCAAAAAACATTTGAATGCATACTTTCTAATTGTCAACCAATCTCATCCAGAGATAAAATCTGAAAAGATTTTATAGGGTTTAAAAGGTCTGCCTGTTTTAGGCAGATTCTTACTATGATGGGAACAAATGAGGAAAAGAATGATGATATTTCTACAACAGTCTTTGCTCTTACTGTCTTTGTTTATACCAATTCCAACCTTAGTGCATTGAATTAAGGTTAAGCAACCTTAAAACAGAGAATGTAAGGTCTTTATCATAGTTTACACGAAAATGGATATGAAAATGAGAACATGGATGTGGAGCATTTGAAAAATAAGAATTGTAATTAAAATTCATATACAACCTTTTTTTAGAGTATCTGCTCTCAGCACTGACATACTGACAGCCTGAGACACTTACCTGCAGTGTTCCTTTGGACTCTTTCCAGTAGTGCGTAGAGCACTGTCACCATATGGGAAAATACTCACCGGTGTTTCAGTGTGGCATTGCTGTTGCTTTTCACTTGGGATTACTAAAAAGCTCCTATAGTTGATCTACAAGGGCAAAATTGAGACGTTCTGGATACTGGGGTTATTTTTTCAAGGAGGGTGATTTGTAGCAGCAGTGCATGTGGCACTAATCAATGAAAGTTGAGAAGACTTTGGCCTAGCATCCTGCCCAAAGAAGAAGAAAAGAGGTTACAAGAGATCTGCTATGTTCCTTATCATTGCTTCATATGAAACAATATACATACTCCTGAAGTTTTTATTTTGAATCATTTCTGCAATAATTTTATCAGGTGCATAGGAGATCCAAGCAACTTTTGAAAATTCCTTATGTTCTGCATTATAAAGTCTGTTGTCCGTACTTGGCACAGACTACAAATTTGACCCTTATTTTCAAGCATTTAAAGGCCCAAAATAAAATTATCGTTCTTTAACACTTTTTTTTTTTCTTACATTTATTCAAGTTTGCATTAACTATATATCCAGCAAAACTGCATTCTACTCCTTCATCTTAGCCTTAAGTAGCAGTCAGAGGAGATTAAATGCGGTTCAGCATAATGAAGCATGAAGATGACAAGAAAAATGAACCAGAGGTACCTTATCTCCCAATTCATAGCAGTACAAATTTTATATTCCAGACACAAATGCCACCTTGGGATTGAAATCGTACTGTGTGAATCTGTGTATTATTTTCCAATTACCTTCCTGCTTTAAATGTAGAAAAGAGAACGAGTCCTCCTGAATTAAGAGATGTGTTAATTGCATGTGGGATTTGTGATGGAAAGTTCTCTCTAAAATAAACAGTAATAGAAGTTGGTCTTTCACCTATCAGGAGGAAAACCTGCTTCTAGTGAGAGAATGCTAGACTGGACTGACATTGGTCTCTTTTATGACGTTATTACTGAACTGACATATATAACACAGTATATTAGAACTGTTAGTTGTATCATAGCATAATATTTTTCTGTAGTTTTTTCTGTTAAATCCCTCAAAAACCACGTGCAGAAAAGTACTTCTCATGTGTATGTTAGTTTTGGCAACTGTCTGATCTGAATGAAATGCTGGTGGGCTTTTAAAAGCCTGAAGAACAGGAATCAGGCAGTGAGCCTACACGAGCCTTTAAAAAAAAAAGGTATTTACAAAGTATTTATCTATTATAAAAAATGAAAAAAATAGAAGTTGTCTAAAGGTTTCAATTAATAAACTGTCAGCCTCTATGAATTTAGTTCCCCTTCTTCGTTACATAAATATTAATTCAAATATTATTAGCAATGTTTCCTTAATACCAGTGGAGGGCAGACTTGAACTGGAAACTTTTTCTGCTTTGATTTCCTGAAATTAAAATACAAGATAGTTCCTCAGGCTCAGAGCTGATGGCAGTCTCACCACTTCTCCACGATTCTAATTACTCTTGCACTGGGTAAAAGCTTCTTTACAATTGCTGTTTGACAAAATGAGTGTTTTGCTATGTCACAGAAAAGAAATAGTGAATGTTTAGATAAAAACAATCATATGAAAGTGGATGAGTCAGTTTATTAGCAGCTGCGTGATATTCCCCAGGGAGGATCCACACTGCTAAGCAATTAATCATGTATATCTTAAAATGGTTTTTAAAAGTGAGTGAATATCATTATCCCCATTTTACAGGTGAAGGAACTAAGGCGTAGGGAGGCAGCCTTGGAAGGTGTCTGTCTAGGTGACCTGCAGATGCAAGAACAAAATCCAGATTTCTGTGATTTAGTCCAGTGCTCAAGCACATTTTCTTGCATAAATGATGGTAGGTCAAGCTGTTGCAAACACTGGAAATGATGCAGTCAAAATTGCTGAGGAGCTCACGCTGGTGAAATAGACAGGTAACAGAGAGACAGAGCATAGGTGCTGAGAAGAATATTGTCCTCAGGAAGTTAGGTGGAGGTCAGATCAGGTGGCCAAAGGTCTGCATTAAAAATAGTGTGTTTTTACTAAAACAAGTACTCTGTGTTTTTTGTATGTATTTGTCATTAAGTTAGATTGTACTCTCTCCAAGGAAGGAGCCTTTCTATGTAAGCCTGCAAAGCCATTCCAATCTCAGTAGTAGGAAATGTGTACTTAAAATGTAGGTGAAGGATGAAGATGCTAAAAAAATTGTTCCTCCTCTCCCATCATCTTAAATTATGAGCAAAATGTGAGGCTTCCTATGAGTCACCAAGTCCACTGTATCTACTGAACCCACGGTCAGTAGCATTCGTGAGGTTTATGTGACTCACCATTGAATGCTATGCTTCATTAAGGAGCTACGTTTAATAGCTAAATACAATCACTTATTTGATTAAATGCATGTATTCCACTTTGTATGCTCTTATGAAGTCATTATTAGTTATAATAGCTTTTTAGAGCATAAAATGGCTCTGCTTTTTTTTTTTTTTCCTCCTTAATCAGCCCCAGCATATAGATTGTTCTTTCCCTTTCTAGAAAGGGCTGGAGGCACACCATTACAAAGCCTCCCATTTCTAAGACTTGTGTAAGATATACCGCAGAACATTTGGTGTTGCATATTAAAAACTCTGTAGATGTAGAGTGAACAAGCTCTTTACACACTGCATTTTTCCCCTTTTTTCCTCTTACTGCCAGTTTGCAGTGGCAACATGCTGATGGTGTGAATCAGTCATTAGTTTATGACTCCAAGGAAAAGGACTGGTGAAAATTGTAAGTTAGAACGTAAGTAAGTGGCCACTCACCATACAGAATGAAATACTGCATAACCTGTGAGTGTGTTACTATAATTTCTGGTTTATTTCCAAACAAATGATGTTAAAATAGGAGTCAGAAATACCTGGCGGGATTTGAAGTACAATGTGGCAGTAACCCCAAAACCTATTACTTTATATTCAAGGTTTCTCTGTTGGACCTCTTTAACTCATCCCTAATTATAAATTGCTGTCTGTAAGTTTCCAAAAAATTGTTTAATACTCCCAGGCCTAATGCTATAATTTGGGGCAGAATACAATACCATAATGCCATACTTTCAGTGCAGAATTACACCTTATCTCCAATAAACCACCTGTGTCTTTCAGTATTTTTTAGATTTACTGTATTTCAATATGCAGAATCTTCAGCTTGTGTGGTTAATCTTTTTTCTTAGTCTTTAAGCAGAACTGAGTCTCTTCATTCTCAGTGCAGAAGTGCAGTACAACAGAAGAATAAATCCATTCTGCAGGTGGAAAGAAAAGCTGTGGGTTCATGGTGAGGACAGCACCCATCTGCCCCAGATAAATGTAAGTCCATCTTCCCTTTGTTTACCTTTTGCTCCATAACAAAACCAGAAGCTGCTTGATAAAATTCCCTTTGGATTACAACCGTAAATAAACCCGTTCTGCATTCTTAAATACAGAATGCAGTTTTTGTGGCAGATAGCTTGTAAGCTGTAAACATAAAAATCACATACGAATAAATAAGTGTTGAGAAAGCAGTTATGTGACATAAAATGTATATGAAAAAAATGCTCTGAATATTGGAAAAAATGAAAGGATAGCTCCACGGCAGTAGTAGCTGTACCTGTTCAATGCACTGAGTTAAGGGAGACTTCTACCTTGCTGTTGTTGTCTCTACAACTAATTACATCTTAAAATCTTAAAACCACTGACAGTTAAGGGAAAACAAACTTGTGTGTTTGGGCATGGCAGGTCTTTTCTGCTGCAAGCTTCACAGGAGCTTCTGCCTCCACACTGATCTTTTCTTACACTGCTCTTAGGTAATGTGTCTTCTGTCTTGTTTGTAATCATTTCTCCCTTTTATTTGTAATACACAAAATATTTAAGAAGCTCATGATTTAAGAGTAATTAAGATAGTGCTACCTCAAGAAGATCAAATGTTACTCTTATGTACGCTCATATTTGTTCTGCTGAGCAGGCCCATCTCAGTGACAGAGGGAACTGCAAATAATACAGACTGACATCAAACTAGCTATTGCTGTAAGCAGGCAGAACAAAAGTTATTTCTGCATTTCTTGACACAGAAACACATGGGTGGCTATATACTGTGTGAAAAAAAACACTACACTGTTGTGTGCTTATGACAAAAAAAACAGGAATCCTTTGCCAATAAAATACTGTTATTTTTGGATAAACAAAACCAAAATCAAGAGCAAACAAGTGTATATATGCCGTGCATAACACACAGTCCCATATCATCAACATTAGTGATTTTAACAGTGTACTTCCTGAAATGGGAGTTTTCACTAGAATGAAAATTGCTTCCACATCACTTGGAAGTAAAGCTTACTGCTGTCAGGTTGCCAGAACCCCTAAATGAGTGTTCAAGCATCATTACCTCTTTCAGTGATTTCATATATTTATACTTACTGTCACAAGTAGGAGAGGATCAGCAAGGATTTGTTCCTTGTTCAGAAGATCATGGAGTCTGCTACCTGCCAGCAGGCCCTGCTTCCAGCAGCTGAAGCTCTTACTCATCACAAATCTTGTTCCTGACATACTTCAGCATCCAATACTTCTTTTACACCTTCCGAGGTCCTATATTTAGGTATTTCTTCTTCTCCGCAGTTGCTCCAAGCCAGAAACATATCCCTTTACATAGAAGATTCTTAAATTTGTTCACACTGCTTTTTTGGCATTTGTTTCCTTTGTAAGTTCCACTTCTGTAGACTGTTCGGTACTAAGCTTATTATGAAAGTCTAGGTGGTATTCCACATTATAAATCACAGATACACACAAGATTGGCAGGATTCTTGAATACTGGCCTGCAGCATCCCAGATCCATAGTGCCAGAGAGAGATGCGGACAGATCTTTGGTCTTGAAGGCCAGAATTTGGTCATATTCACAGACATGTTTGGAAGCTTGCAAAAGGAGGCCAAGAGAAGGAACAGGGGATGTCACTGATGAGCTGTGCAGAAATGTCACCTCCTGGAGAACCATCTAGTTAGATAGATTACATCTGAGTTCTGCTAATGCTCTTCATTAAGCAAACACGTTCAGCACTGCTGCAGTCACGACTGGAATACACAGCACACCAGCATATGTTGAAATCCAGGACACCCAGTTCAACAGAAAGAGTGAGTAATATAAATGGCATTAACTGAAATAAATTTCAGGATGTTTTTTGATGGAAAGCATGCTCATATCTCGAAATCAAACCTTTCAGTAGACAAATAAATGGCTTCAACATTTTTCAGGAAATCTCAGTAGCATTCCTTGGGCTTGTAGATCAAGCTTACTGCAGTCGAGCAGGCTTAAATGCAATGTTACGATGCTTTTTTCTTTTTACATATTTTGAATGGAACAATGGAATAACAATGAACACACACATTCTTGTGTTTCTGATGCATTCTTTTCTTGCAGAAGCCCCAGTCGGTAGTAAAGCAGTTCACAGCACAGACATTTCTGTAGAGGAGAAGCTCCTGCAGCAGGTGAGCCCTGTACTGACAGCAAGCAGTTCTCACACTGCAACATCGTGATTAGCTGTGTTAAGCAACATATAAATCATGAAGACAAAGTGCTGCTGAGCAGCGAGGCAGCTTTCCCTGTCCAGGTTGTAAGAAGCAGCCACAATTACCAAATCAGTGCCTTGGCACTGAAACTGCACAGCACAGTGGAGCAGGTTAGTGGGCTTGGGTCCCTTCCTCTAGAGGAAAGTTTGTGCTACAGTTTGGCCTCACCCACCTTCGGGCAGCTGAGTTTCTGTTGACTCAAAAGGAAAGCAAAAACTAAAAGGCCTCACATGGTCTGACATCCTGAGACAAGAAAAAATGAACTTTGACTGCAAGCCGTGAAGACTCTGACCTGTGCGTAAGCTTTCAGTACTGCTGCGTCCTGCTTTTGGTTTTGCCCTGCTCACTTGGGTTATTCCGTGCATTGCACAAAGAGTTCCAAAGACAGCTCCTGTAAGCCAGTTACCTGTAACTGCTCCTGGGAGCAGTTACACTGCCAGCACAGAAATAAAAATACTGGGCCCAAAAGTCAGCCTTGTCTTTTCTGTCACTGCAGTTTCCATGTGCAGGAACAGCACAGGAAAAAGCAGAAGGGTGGTTTTTTTACACCACAAATAGAGAGTGCAGGCAGTGCGATGTATGAACACTTAGATTTTAAGCCAGCACTTCTGGGCACGCTGTTCAGAAGTGCAAATGCTTTCAAAAAGTGCCTTTCAGCTCAGCCTGGTAGAGCAGAGGACCCTAAGCAACTGCCAGTGGGCTCACATCTCACCTCTTGGCTTCACACATACCCAAGTCCACCTTCATTCCAGGTGTGTGGAAATGCCTGCACCTCTCCTTAATGACAGAGTAAAGCAAAACTGTATCTGAAGAATATTGCACTGATTTCAGAGGAAAAAAAAAAAAGTATTTAATTACGGGGTAGAACATACAGTGAGATTGCTATCTACCAAAATCAGATTATTTCTGTGCTGACCTTCTGGAGCAAACTTTTCTGACTGAAGTTATTGTGAGGAGAATGTGGTAGCAAAATGGGCAAACCATTAATTCTCCTACTATTTTCCACCTATGCTTTTGAGTCCTCTGCATCAGGTGGAAATGATGTCTTCTTGTCCCCCAGGTACAGAGGATAAAAGTGTCAGTGATGCATTTTCACCTCTGGCTCCACGCACTGGGACATTTCCCCACCTTCTAACAGCTAAATGTTATCAGGTCTCTTCTCACCTTTTCAACAGAATGCTTCAACAATACTCACCCGTTTTTGTTCAAGACAGCAGGGAATGAAGCTCATCAAACACATTGCCTACAGCATGCAGTCTGACACACTGGACTAATAATAGCTTTCCTGTCATCACAAAATATCACATTTATGTGTGGCATCCAGAATGGAGCCAACCAAAGTGAGCTGCATGGCCACACATCTACACACACTTATTCACATTGGTGGGCACCAGGAAAGGACAGGCAGCAGAGCAGCCATCTGCATACAGTAGACACGATGTGTTTTAGACGAGTTTCCTTCTCTTAAGCTCTGTAATTGCTGTCATTAACACTGAGCAGTATGACAGCAAAAGAATAATCCCACAAATGTAATGGATCAACTTATAAGAAGTTAAAATTTGTCGATTTTAAGTAGCTAACCATCATTTCCCTTTTGTCATGTATTAGGAGGGCCACCAAGATGATCAGAGGGATGGAGCTCCTCTCCTGTGAAGAGTGCTTAAGGGAACAGGCCTTTGTTTAGCTTGGAGAAGAGAAGGCTCTGGGCAGACCTCACTGTAATCCTCCAATATTTGAAGGGAGCTCATAAACAAGAGAGGGAATGACTTTTTACAATGATAGATAATGATAGGACAAGGGGGAATGGTTTTAATTGTGGTTTGTTTTTTTTTTTTTGGTCTACCAGTTGGCAATCCTGTCCATGGCAGGGAGGTTGAAACTAGGATGATCATTATGATCCTTTTCAACCCACGCCATTCTATGATTCTATGATAAACTAAGACGGGGAGATTTAGGTTAGGTATTAGGAGAAAGTTTTTCACTCAGACAGTGGTGACACACTGGAGCAGGTTGCCCAAGGAGGCTGTGGATGCCCCATTCCCAGAGGCATTCAAGGCCAGGCTGCATGTGGCTCTGGGCAGCCTGGTCTGGTGGTTGACAATCCTGCACACAGCAGGGGGGCTAAGCTAGATGAGCGTTGTGGTCCCTTTCAACACAGGCCATTCTACGATTTTATATAATTCCATGCAGTTATTGGGGTTTTTTGTTTTGTTCTTTTTGAGATAATTCAGTCATGTACTATATAACATCTCACCTAAATCTCCCCACTTTAGCTTAAAGTCATTAATAAACTAAGTGTCCAGCCCTGCTGTCCTGCTTCACAGTGCAGGCCCAGTAAGAAAAGCTGCAATTAATAAGTAAATGAAAGCTGTCTGCAAGCACGTCCTCACAGCACAGCAGATAGCATGGAGGCTTCTGTTACAGCTGAAGGGTCATAGAAATCTAATCCATTGTGATAATTAAAAGCTGACAGGAGATGAGCCCCTGACCTTGTGATTCATGGAGTTTTTCCTCAATGGCGTAAGGGTCAGCTGCAACCCGGCCACCCTCTGAAGCCCTGAGGTCCCCCTGAGGCACACATTGCAAAATGGGGCACACTTGGACATGCAGTGCCCAACCTCTCTGTACCCCTGAGTACAGCAGGTGCAGCACTGAGCGATGTACTGAGCGCCACGCTTCAGCCTTTGGACGTGCATCGCTGGACTGAGCGACCACTGGGTGGCAATGACAATCTCCTGGAAAACATTTTCCTGCATTTGCTGATCTCGGCTTCCTTTCCTGCTCCTTCCCTTCTGTTCTTTTCGTTATTTTTTTTTTTCCTAGGGATATTTTGTTCAACAACTTCCAGAAGAGAAAAGGATCTACAGTTATTGATAGAATTTGTCTTCCATCAAGAAAACCATCAATGCTGAAACACACACAGAGCAGAACAGAGCCAGGGCACAGCCCGCAGCCACCCCACGCTGATTCCCTGTTGGTTCCCACAGCACTCCCCCGTGCCCAGGATGCCCCCAGGAAACAGACACAGCTCAAAGCACAACGGAAAGGGGCTGCCCGTGCTGCAGTCTGCTGGGGCTCACGGTAGCAGAGTTCTCCTCTTTGCGTCTCGTTTTGCTCAGCTTCTTCATTCATTCAGAGCTGCCTGCAGAGACAGATACGGAGGAAACAAACCAGACAGAGCCGCTCTTACAGCTCCTGTTTTGTTCTCCAGTCACCTATTTCCCCACAGCTCAGCACATAGTGTGCTTTATGCAACGTCTTCTTTCTTTCAGGCATGAAACAAAACTGTCCCTCAGTGCTGAACAGTACCATGCCAGCTTTTCATAGAGGAGGAAGGAGTAATTACAGGGATTACGAGTGTGGCGCTGAATGTCAACATATATTAAAGCTGTTTAATAGCTTGAAATAGAATATCCTTCCACCTGAGGCACTGTCTTTCTGTCTAGAATTAAATTATGACATCAACTGCCTTGGATCTACCTAGTAACTCATTTTGTTGGCATACTTAAGAAGTTATTCATCTCAGCATTACCAGAACGCGTCAAAATTCTTTTGTGCTCGCAGGCAGCACGGCAGCTTCACCCAATGCTCCTCTGAAGGCACAAAAACACTCTGTCACTCACTGAGAGCACGCTGCTGCCTGCATCCCCTATGCCAACCTCTGGAAAAAAGACAAGTGATAGCAGTGGATGCTACACAACACCATCACCTAGTCCTTTCTTCAAGCTATTTATCTCTACACACCTTTGCTTTGGGGTGATGATGCCAAGCAGTGGAGTAATCACTGAGAGACCAAAGCACAGTGGTTCAGGAGCACTGCTAGGGCTCAATGGTGGGTCCCATCCTGGACCTCTGAACTCACCCGTTCCAGCCCATGTTGCTGCCTGCAGCCTCCTGCCTTTCCTCCTTGCAGAACTCTGCCCACCCCAAGGTACAGGAAGAAGCCAGGTTCATATTAGGGTCAGTGACAACGCTTCTGTAGTGAGGTTTCCTGAACTAGCAGCACAAAAACAAGAGCTCACACAACTGAAGGCATTTCAAGTTACAAAGGCAGCCTGCATGGCAGGTGAGAAGCTCCTATGCAGACTGAACAGCAAATGAAAAACCTTACATTTGTCAGAGGATTGAGCTAGAGCTGAATAGCTGTCACTCAGTTACAGAGATACACTCACATCCTTGATGCTATTCTACATTTAAACCTCAAAGCAGCTGAAGGTATTAGATATTTTTAAGTGGGATTCTGACTAAAGAATGGCAGAAATAAGAATGCAGTAAAGAGATCTGTGCTCCAGTTCTACCCTCCATCCCTGCTTTAGGTGTTCAGGAGTGCTGCTATTTCACACTTACTCAAAAAATCCAAACCGATTCAGCTGAACTGTGGGCCCCCAGTACCATCTCTGTTATTTCCAGTGAATTGCTGCCTCAAGGCCTGCAGCACCAGTGAGTCAGGTCTATTCCTCCTGGACTTCTACCTGTTAGTAAGGGCCGTAGTGAAAATAGGGCAACTGCTGGCATTACCCAGGGCTATGCTAAAATGATTGATCCAAACACTTGAGTGTATTTTGGCCCTGTGCAGCGAGGTCCTGTCCAACAGGAACATCCTCACACTACAGAAATCCACCATCACATTTCAGCCTTAGAAGCTGCAGCCAGGAGCATCGGCCTTAGTCAGCACTACAGCACTAACAACTGCTGGGCTTGTCTGCGTGATTCAGCCCCGCTTCCACCAGACCTGCTGCACCATTACGTTCAGCAATGTCACAGGAAATTCAGGGTAACAGCCAATTGAACTTGCCCTCATTTCAGAGTCAATGAAGCAACATCTGCAGCAGAGAGGCTCATGCCGCAGCGGTTGCCCCAGTCACAGGGGCACGCTCCCGTCAGCCAGAACTGGCAGCTGTTGTTAACCGGCAGCTGCCGGGTGAGAGAACACGAGTGTGCTGAAGTTCCCTTTAATACAGAGCCAAATTAACACTGAATATAAAAAGCATCCAAATTAAATGCAGGCGGCCAGCTGTAAAGTCCATACAAACAAATGCCATTCCAAATTCTCAATGCTTGCGCTACCTGCAGGTTCCCCTCCCACTGCACAGTGTCCTACAAAGAGGCTCTCTGTTCTATTTCCCCCCCAGCTAAGAGCTGTGCTTTGGAGTTACCACTATTTTCTTTTGTACTTCCTGCCACATTTTGGGAAAAGGAGATTCAAATTCTCTTCCACTAATCAGTAACTATTCCTACTTGAAACCATGTTAAGAGCCCATCCTAAGCATTCCCTTTCACTCACTGTCACTGAAATAGCAAATATTACACTCTCCTGGGACAGTCACAGACCCAAGTTCAACCCCTACACTTCAGAAACCAAAATTCCTGGCTAGGAATCCCTGGCTAAACCCTCTCCATACCAAGCGAACTGTTAAGAATCTGAGATTTCCTTTCTCATCTACCCATACAAAGGTGATTTGTGTTTTGACCATTTGAATCAACAGGTTAAAGATTTGGGATTTAAAAAAAAAAAAAAGAAAATGAACACTGTTCCCAAAACATAAGATTCTCACAGCTGCTATTTAGACAAGCTCTTCCATTCCGCAGGTTCCTCCACAGCGTTGCACCGGAGACCACATTTGTAATGGTAGGTTAAGGAACTTTGTACAAAATGCAACCCCTCACCTGCAACCCCACCTTGTCTGTTGGGAGACAGGGAGGCCATCCTGAAGGGCAGTGGGACCCAGCACAGCTGGGGGCTCCCCCAGGCTCACAAACTGGCCCATCCCAACACACTGGAAGTCAAGCAGAGTCAGCAGGCCTGTATGCACAGACATGGGGCTCTCAGTTCTACTTACCTATGAAAAGGAAGCACACAAGAGGTGGAAGCAGGAGACCAAGGAGGATTACAGAGAGACTCTCTGAGCATGCACAGGTAGGGCTAGGAAATCCAGTCTTCATGCAGTGCCCAGGGGCAGCGCAAGGGGCAGTGAGCACAGAACCAAACTGCATGTGGCTTTAAGCTCGAGGCAAAGGAGGTGGATGAGATGATCTCCAGCCTCAGCCATGCTGTGGTTTTTCTGAAAAAGGAACCTAAGCAGTATTTCTGTACTGTCAAAGCTGGAGAAGTGATACAATTTCTGGCTGAGCAGCACAAAAAAACCACCACACTACTTCCAGAGTTTTACAAACATATCATTCCCAAGAGACTTGGTACAACTGACCTCCAGGATTGCTGGCGCTTCAAACGCAGAAATAGTGAGAACAGCTGAATAGAAGATCTAATGAAGATACAGAGCAGTCGTGTATCAAAATGCTACTATATTAAGGTTATCACAGAGCTGCCCAAACAGCACCGCATCAGTGACAAGGATGGCCACGTTTCTGGCTACAACTCACCTGCTTGCAGGCACCTGAGTGGCAGCACTTCTCAGCCAGGTGGGTTGGGCTGGATGACTCGCCTGCTTTCATAGAGCCCATGCTGTGTGCAGGACAGCTGTTTGGCACGTTGAAAGTAAGGAAGGCAGCCTTACCAGGGCTTCTACACACATGTAACAAAAAAGCTGAATAAGTCACAGTGTACTTCAACAAAGCCTGTAGAAACAGAAAGGCGACTTTTCCTGCTTATGAAAGCACCAACTTCAAAATCCACCAGTTTATTTTACTGGCCAAAGTATTAAACACTAAACAAAACAAGTCTTTAGTTGATACAATAGGAATGTAAATTTTCTTGTACAATTCAGAAAACACTGTAAGGTTAAAACCTTTACTAAAAATTGCTACAGCAAAACATCACTCAGCAAACCAAAAACTGAGGAAGTGTGGCACGTTCAGACTCAGACCCTCAGGTGAAGAAGCATCCAGCTGCAGTCATCCTGCTGGTTTCAGCAGACACTGTGAAGTGTGCACATCTAGTTTGCTGTTTTAGAATTACAGAATTAAACAGAATTATACACACACATATATGCAGCAATGTAAGCCTCAAACACTAAGAAAAGTTGTCAAATAATTCACTTAGAAATTTCTAAAATCCTCATAGACCACAGACCTACTCAGAAGGGTGGCAAAAAGTGCTGTATTTTTGTACTCCTCAAATCCGTCGGGTATTCAAGACAATTCAGTGGCATTTCACTCCCTTTTAGAAAACCCACTGCAGTTCTAGATCAAGTGGTTGGAGGCCATACAATTTTTGCACAAATGCTATAGATTTTCTAAACAAAAACAATTCTACTCAGCTTTTAAGAGTTTTGAAAATGTTGCTGTTCAAAGTTGTCATTGGCAACAGTTTCCTCTGATTCAAAACAATGAGGTCAGTTGTAAATGTCAGCATTCAGCAACTTCTGTCATTATAATTGGAGATGATTCACTCCCACATAACATTTTTTCCCTGCAGAATGTTGCAACTATGTGTGACATTTGGAGTGCATTCATCAGAACTACCTACCACTGGGTAGACTACAATATGTAACGATAGAATAGCCAGAAAATAGGAAAAAACTGCTTCTTTAGTATATATATATATTTTTTTTAAAAAAAAAAAAAAGAAAAAAAAGAAAAAACCCTGCTTGTTTAGTATACTTTCAGTCTAAAATGATCAGATAATGCTAAAAAAACCCTGAGGCTTTCAATATTTCAGAAGTAACAAGAATTAATAGCTTTGTTTCTGGCCCCACCTTCCCTTCAATTCTGCGTTGGAAGCAGTGCAGCACATCTTCTGGAACACACTGCAGACATTCAGACAATAAATAGTTCTGCCTTCCTTCCCCCACTGCATTTTTGCATACTTTTGAAGAAAGCAGCACAGCTGGAAGTTATATTATTTTCATTAGTAAAGA